TTTCATGCCTAACCCTCCTCCTTTATCCGGGCTTGGGACTGGTAGAAGCCTCCGGAGGGACTCCAGGCGGAGTTAGAGTAGCAGAGTTAGTAATAGTTATAATGATAATAATAAAAGTTAAGCATATAAGGTATTGTGATGGTGGAGAAGATTTGTAGCTCAGGTGGATGATTTTGATGGGATTTTGTTCTCTGAGCTGGATGGTTTGGTCGTGGAGCTTTCACTATTCTTCTGAACGACATCATCAGCACAAAATTCAAATAGAAGTGAAGTGTTCGAATTTCTCCATATGCGTTTCACAGCTTGTTCTATACACCTCGATGTTGATTGGTCCAGATGGACTGGCTCCAGAGGTTTTTAAGGATGGTGGTTCGATTTTAGCGATTAGGTTGACTAATATTTTAACTAGGATCTGGGAGTTAGACGTTATCCCATCTAACTGGTCACAATCACTTATCGTCCCAATATATAAGAAAGGGTCAAAATCATCTTGTGACAATCACAGAGGGATTAGTTTAACTAATATAGTATCTAAAATACTAGCCTGGATAATTATCAGACGCCTAACTAAGACTCTTGAACTGCAAACACGAGAGACTCAAGCTGGCTTCAGACCTGGTCGTGGCTGCATCGACCACATATTCACCATTCGTCAGATTCTAGAACACAGGCATACTTATCGACGTCCGACAATGGTGGTCTTTCTCGACTTAAAAGCAGCATTTGACTCGGTAGACCGCGAGATTCTGTGACAGTGTCTGTCATCGAAAGGCGTACCTCAGAAGTACATAAACCTTGTGAAGGCTCTTTACTCGAACACTACTAGTCGAGTCAAAGCTTATGGCGAACTGTCATCTAATTTTGCAACCTCAAGTGGTGTCCGTCAAGGCTGTCCACTTTCCCCATTTTTGTTTAACTTCATCATAGATCTACTGATGGAAATAACTTTCTCGTCGACTGAGTTCTCGGGTATTGATCTCCTACCAGGAGGTCCACTTATCGACTTAGAATACGCAGATGACATAGTCCTGTTTGGTGAAGACGCTGACAAAATGCAGAGTCTTCTGGTAGCACTAAGCAACAATGCCAGAATGTTTGGAATGCGTTTCTCTCCCTCTAAATGCAAGTTGTTGCTTCAGGACTGGTCTGCCTCAACACCTGAACTAAGGATAGGGAGTGAAGTAGTCGAACGCGTCGACAACTTCACTTATCTTGGAAGACCGATCAGCCCTAATGGGTTGGTGTCTGACGAAATCTCAGCACGGATTCGAAAACCTCGCTTGGCTTTTGCCAACTCGCGTCACCTTTGGCGAAGGCGAGATATCCGTCTATCAATAAAAGGACGAGTATACTGCGCGGCAGTCCGTTCTGTTTTACTTCACGGCAGCGAAACATGGCCATTAAGAGTAGAAGACACTCGTAAGCTATTAGTATTTGACCACAGATGCCTTAGAAATATTGCTGGCATCTGCTGGGATCACCGCGTAAGTAATAGTGAGGTTAGACGCACTGTATTAGGGAATGATGGTCAATCAGTTGATGAGGTTGTGAATCTTCATCGACTGAGATGGTCGGGCCACGTGTTACGTATGCCTGAACACCGACTACCACGACGTGCAATGCTAACCGGTGTTCGGGATGGTTGGAAGAAAGTCAGGGGCGGCCAAACCAAAACATGGCATCAGTGCTTGAAGACACTAACTTCTTGCCTGAGCCATGTTGGTAGATGCAGACTACTTGGTTGGGGTCCGCGTGACTTTCGTAACCAATGGTTGGAGACTCTTGGTGATATGGCTCAGAATCGATCACAATGGCGTCGGTGTATACACTCTCTGTCTTCCCTTAAACTAAGAGATTAAAATCACTTCATATCTTTCTTTCTACGAACCAATTCTTTCTTCTTGTACTATATCTCTATATGCAATCTTTCTCTTATATATTACCACCTTTGACCTAACCACTGCTGTGAATCCGTTGTTCATCTTGTTGTGCTGATGCGGTGTGGCAACCTGGACCGATGCACATATGTGCCTGGTCCTACGTTGTAGCTGACTGACTGACTGACTGTTCTATAAATAGAACTGTTCCTATTCCCTTGCCTAAATTTACTGACTTCACAAATCGGTCTGTTTACTGTATCTCCCCACAATTGGTTTTGCGTAAAACACACTGAAATACCTCAACAGCACAGTTATACGAATTGAACAGTATACTCATACTCACCCTAGCCAGGACTATTAATGATACACCTCTGCCGGATAAAATTCTCCAGATAAGTATGTTGTTCAAATCATTGAACTATTTTGGTACATACAGCCTATTTTATCCTCAGTAAATTGTTCTGAAGTTAAAGTTCATTACTGATAGATAAGAAGCGAATAACTAATATTTTAACATTTTCTTCTAGAAGATCTCATAGATCCCTACTCAAAATTCAATCATAAGAAATTCAAGTAGTCTATGACATATCTAATTGCAAGGTTATACTAAATACACCATTAACGCTGTTCAGCAAAATTTGAACTTATTTGGCCACTGAATTTGTTAGCAATAATAACTAGGCCCTCAAATACCCTGGTACAGCCTAGAGTGGAGAGAGTCCTCCCTCCCTTTATAAATGCTCTCACGTGTATACAACCACTGCCAAGGAAGTCTTACTCATTGCCTTCTCGTGGCGGGGGTGTCGTTTACGAAAATGAGAGGACGGAAAGCGAATGTCCGGCGCTCTAACCGGGCCGGTGGACACGGTGAGTCCACCTAGGGGAGTTGGAAAACTCTGATTCCAAACCAATGGTGCATATGGGCTCCAGAATCCTGAAGGAACAAATGGCATATGAACCAACCATTGGTCACTGGCTATCATGGGACTGCATCTCCTTACGATGCTCCACTGCCCTGTGTATCAGACCTTCAGGTCGAAGGCTCCGGGTGTGGCCTCCTAAGAAAATGACCTGCTTCGGTTTGGGCACCCGGGCAGTATCACAACCCTTACACATATCAAATGAGATTGTGTGGAGCATATGTATTTGGTGCCTCCTTGTACCAATATCTATGTGTTAAAATAAAATAAAATAGTTTGTCACCGAAAGATATACCAAAGTACAACTTTTTGCCGACTCTTTATTCGAACATTACCGAATGAGCTAGAGGTTATGTCGAATTTTTATTGGGAATGATTGCAATAAGTAGTCTTTGTCATGACTGTCCTCTCTCTCTCCATTTTTATCCAACTTCATAATAGTTGAAATTCTCTTACTGCCATCGATTATATAGTAACTGGAATTAATTATCAGAATGAATTTTATCCATATCATTGGTTAACGTTCTCAATAACAACCTTAATATTCACGAATATAATATATGGATTAATACTGGTTAACCAACCTACAAAACGTATTCTAAAATATCAAATGGTAGCAACATGAAGTCTGGTGCTGGTTGGCGGCAAATTAGCTACATGTTATGGATTAAAAAATGCATCATGAAATGAGTTGGAAAACAAATGGAATTTCGACACGTATAGTAAGCGAAAGGAATACTGCGAGGAACATACCTCCGACAATCAAAATTCAACCAAACAAGTTGTGAACAGAAAGACCCGATCGTTGCTGCTACCTTGACCAGGCGATCAGACTTGCCTATCTGATATACTGGCTGGAACAATCGTTCCTCAAAGTCCTACCATACCAGGCAGGTCGGTTGAGGAGCGGTAAAACTCAAAGCAACAAACCCAAGGTCCGAGGGCGAAGTCATACTGCTGATTGTACAGAAGAATGATGGCAGTAAGATTTTTCACTCAGAAAACTAGAATCACGACAATGCTGCCTTCCCACGAAAGAGGGGTGTGGTTATAAAAGGTCGACCCTAAAAATACACACCTCGTCTTATCCAACGGATTCCCGTCTCCGGCGGTAGGGTCTCAAAAATTACGGAACACAAAAATTGCCCGCAAAAATGTCGTGTGTGACTAATCAGCCCTGTATGACGAAATCTCAGCACGGATTCGAAAAGCTCGTTTGGCTTTTGCCAACTGACGTCACCTGTGGCGAAGGTGAGATATCCGTCTATCAATAAAAGTACGAGTATACTGCGCGGCAATCCGTTCTGTTTTACTTCACGGCAGCGAAACATGGCCATTAAGAGTAGAAGACACTCGTAAGCTATTAGTATTTGACCACAGATGCCTTAGAAATATTGCTCACATCTTCTGGGATCACCGAGTAAGTAATAGTGAAGTCAGACGCACTGTATTAGGGAGTGATGGTCAATCAGTTGATGAGGTTGTGAATCTTCATCGACTGAGATGGTCGGGCCACGTGTTGCATATGCCTGGACACCGATTACAACGAAGTGCAATGCTGACTGGTGTTGGGGATAACTGGAAGAAAGTTAGGGGTGGCCAAACTAAAACGTGGAATCAGTGCTTGAAGTCACTAACTTATGATCTGAGCCATGTTGGTAGATACAGACTACTTGGTTGGGGTCCGCGTGACTATCGTAACTAGTGGTTGGAGACTGTGTGACATGGCTCAGAATCGATCACAATGGTGTAGGTGTATACTTTCTCTGTCTCCCCTTAAACTATGAGATTAAAATTGCTTTTTATCTTTCTAACAACTAATTCTTTCTTCCTGTACTATATCTTTAAGTGCAGTCTTCCTTTTATATATTACCACCATTGAATTAACTACTTCTACCAATCCGGTGTTCATCTTGTTGTGCTAATGAAGTATGGTAATTTGGACCGATGCATAAATGTGTATGGTCCTACGTTGTAGAAGACTGACTGAACAGAATTAAGTGGGTCAAGATCAATTATTATAGTGGTAAAAACATCTTAATAACCATGCTTACGCCTCCTACATCACATTAAATAAATAAACCACCAACCAGGAGTTTAGTTGCACTTTAAACTCAAAGGTAAAAAAAATTGTCTCTAATATGTAGTGGACTATATTACACACTAGGTCAAAAATGACTTTAACTTTTAAAAAACTTACTTTCACTAAAGACGACATAGCATTCATGACTGTTGTACTTTTTTGCATACCACTGGTTAGTTTATTCATTGAAGCCATATGACGCAATTCCATAGCCACACAATCAATTTGCGATAATGCAAGATATAAACGAGCAACAGCTTTTTTAGATTCCGCATATTCTTTTGCGTAAACTTTGGCGGAAGGGACGTCAGATTCCTTAGCACATTTCCTAATAGCCATTTCTAGTTGTTTCTGCTGTCGCAGATGGGTCTGAATGTCTCTCTGAAGAGGATATTTCTGTCTCTTCAAGACAGAAGTCATTTCATTTAACTGAGCTTTTGGGTCCTTCTTACGCCCAAAAAGATTCATATCGCTAATGAAGTAAATTTACTGTTTACAGTTAAAAACTAATAGTGGGTCGAACGACTTTTGTCAGGCCCCGTAATATTCAACAGGTTTTAAGCAAGTCGTCTAGGTATGTAGGAATGTTGAATGTGGCGCTCCGTCCTTGAAATATCAAATAACTTTGTTAAACGATTATGTTTATTCTCTGTCCTTTCGTTTTCCTTAAATATTGTGTAGTGACATGAACCGTTGCAGTCATTTATTTGCATCACCACACTCCAAAACAACCACTGAATTCAGGTCATCCGGTAGTATTATTCTATCTGAAATACTGTGTACGGGTCTCTTAATTTTTATCCCGTCTGGAAAGAGTAGAAAAGATAGCTTTCCCACCGTTGGTAAGTCATTTACACAAATAAAAAAAGAAAAGGATCGAGGGATGTACCTTGAGGAGCCCCACATTTTATGGGTTACCATGATAACAGAGCCTCATTTACCCGTGCCCGTTGTCTCATATCATTGAAAAAGTCACTTATCCAGTCTATGATTGCATTATGGAGCTCAAAACTTTACTATTTTAATTTAAGTCTTGAATCTATGAATATTACGTCCACGTGAATATTTCTATCTTTTGCTGTAGCCCAGCCTTCTCTTGCAATGAGTAGATTCATCAAGCAAGATAGGTCATTTACTAAAGTCATGTTGTTCCTTGGACAAAAGACTTTCCCCCATCCATATGGTTTAGAATAGCCATCGGAATAATCTTTTTTATTAATTTGACAGCTACATTGGTTAGACTAACTGGTTGATAGTTAGTGAATAAGTCTTTGCTCCTGGCCTTATACACCGGACCGATGATTTCATATTTCTAGCCGATTGGTAGTCTGGTCCACCTCATTGATACATTAAATGGTATGGTCATAAGTTCAAGACTTACATCCAACAGAATTTCCATAATCCTGGGATGAATATCGTCAGGGCCACTGGATTTGAGATGTCGAAGTAATCGTGAGACAGTTTCTTCTCCACTTACCACTGAGTCCGTCAACGAGCTTCCATTGTCACGACTAACTGGTGGTCATTTTATATTGCTGGTAGAAAACAGTTTACTAAAATTTCCTGATAAAGATTCATCTTTCGGGGCACCAGTTCTTGCACCAAAAGTGGTGAGATTCTGAGACTTCACTGAGTGTGACTCCTTATATAAGATAAGGGTCTCTACAGGTTAATTTCACAAACCCCAACCAATTATTTTTCATACGATTGTAGAGCTTTACTTATCAACTCTCTGCTAGCGTTCCTATTCTTACAGTTATTAGACCTGTACTGTTCAGAACCTGTAGAGATAAACATATGTAGTGGCGTTGGATCGTAACCGCACGACCTTTGAAGCCGAGAACATAACTACTGAAACAAATTATATTCAACAATTGGCACAAAGAGGTTAACAATGAAAAACACAGAAACATTCAATTCAATCGGGTGGCATGGTTCAGCCTTGCAGGCATGGTCGTTCTGTATGACTTATTTTTACTCATATTAAATATAATGTTCTATCTCTGGCCTAAATGTGTTCTCCGTTATATATTGGTAATTGTTACGATACGATGAATCAGTGAACAAGATGATGTGATTTCTACATAAGGTCTTATAGACTAGGCAGTTACAACAGATATACAGATAGAAAGACAATGCCTTTGAAGTATACGCAAGAGTTTAGGTATCTACCACAACCATATCACTGATCTCCAATGATCCAAGACACCCATCCTGCTATTTACCTTTAACCTCCTCCACGATATAGATGTCTTTCCTCAAAAACAAAGGAAAGAATAATGGTGAACAGTGAGGAATAATAAGTAATATGCAAGAATTGACAAATCGTAGGGGTAAATATCGAGTATTTCTAAAATTGTATAGGCCCTTTATTTAATAAGTCGAAAGAAAAACGTTCTTCGGTAACACTAAAACATGAGAAAACAAAAGGAAAAACTTACACCAAGATAAATGACTTTTGATACTGTGTTAATCAAAGAATCTTCAATACCACAAACTTTATGGCATTCCAACAGGGTTTCTAAGTGATGTTCATGTCTGAAACTAAAAGTAACAGTTTGAAATTAAGATGGATCAAATGTGAGACCACTGACAACAGATCACCGTCCGACACGAGACAAGAACTCATTTATTTCAAGAGGAAATAAATGGATATCGGCATACATATATTGGGATCGTCCGCATATTTAACAGAAGTGCTTTTCGAGGCAGATGGCAGATCATGCAGAAAGGAATAGGAAAGCAGAATTAAAAACACAATCCTTGTGGCACACCATGAGACATCAGAGACACCAAACACTTACCCCTAAGCACAATACACTGTTTCCTTCGAGAAAGGTAGATGCATAGCCAGTTGGTTATCCGGCTGTCATTGTTGAGGCCGACTGATTTATTAATCAGAAGTCGTCTCGACATAGAGCCAAAAACAAGTATATTTCACAGAACAGAATCGAACATACTTCTTACCCTTTTTCAAGCTGAACAATATATTGATGCAGAACAGCAGTGGCATCCAAGGTGCTTCTTTTGCATTTCCAAACAAACGGATCAATGTTCTTTTTTACTTCATGTTGAAGAGGGAGTAGCAATAATTTTTCCTTTGTTTTTGAAAAAGGTGAAGTTGTACGATCACGGTTTACTTCGTTATTAGTACTGTTCGCATAATAGACCTAATCTCAAAATTGTAGATTTGTCATGTTGACACTGCCTAATCTATAAGACCTTACGTGGAAATCACATCATCTTGTTCACTGATTCATCGTATCGTGACAATTACCAATATATAACGGAGAACACATTTAGGCCGGAGATAGAACATTATAGAACTTTTTTCCTTATTCGCTACTCAACCATGTGGAACAGACTGCCAGTGAACCTCCGTTGCAGTGAAACTACAACCCGGTTCTAAAGTCTCCTTGACGATTTTCTTTCCGAAAGTGGATTATTTCACCTATTGAATATCAATGTATTCAACAATGATTTATACAAACAAGGTCCGTCATCCATTTAATTTCCTGAAAAGCAAAATAAAACCTTAAAATCTTTTCACGTCTATTTTATTTCATTCCTACTTATCTTAATATATGAAGTCTGCTTATGTTCATATCTATAATTATTACTGTTATTAATATCATTATTGTTCCCCCGACACATTAGATATTCCTTTTATATCTTCTTATCCTTCTTAACATATTTAATTCCTGGCTGTCCTTTGAAATTAATTGTGACTTTCATAGCATCATTCTTAATTATTATTGCACAAATATTATACTAATATCCGGTTTCACTCTGTATAATATTTCATAAATTTAAATGTATTCATCTGCGTACATTAAAGGATTTTTATTTTATTTTTCTAAATTGTTGGTTTCCTTCTGAGGTTGATATTCATTACGCAATTATTATTCTTATCATGGATGAAACTTTTCACCAGGTGTTCACTACTTTTCTTTCTTCTTTCCCTCTAAATAAATATTCTTAAGATTACGAAGTTTGTAATTAAGACAATAACTTGTGCTACACTTAAATTAACTTCTCAGACCCGTATTATCTTCACTATGCGTATATGACTCATGCATATTGATATTTCATTATCCTTTTCACTCAATTGAGACTTTCATCGCATCACTCCAATCTATGACTGCACAAACATTTATTCTAGCGTCATATCTTACTACAATAATAAGTTGTTTTTTCTTAATTATTTTTTGTTACTAATTTGACGATATATACATAGTCGTTTGTTCTTGTTTTATGTTCATAAACACGCCGATTAAAATGTTTGCGTATTTCACGTCTCCTTTATTTCTATTCCCTTATTTTCTCCATTTCCTTCTTTAAACTCAATTCAATATTCTTCTCAATTACACAGACCTGATTTACTATTATTAATACTCTACTATTATTACTCTAAATTTTTTTAATGTGGCAAGTATAATGCTAACATTATTGAAAATTGTGTATTATTGCATTTTTTGAAGAAACCCGAAATGGTTTCTTCACAACATTTATGTACCCATAAGATGTTTGTGGATAATAATAATATTTAATATGAGCAAAAATAAGTCATACAGAACGACCATGCCTGCAAGGCTGAACCATGCCATCCGATGAATCGGGTTAATTCTTCCCGCCATCTCCGATGTTGGTCTTTTCTCCGTGTTAAGTGTTGGATACCTGTTTTACCAGTTACTTCGTGTTCAGGTTTGAGGATTATGTGGCTAGGGCTCAGTGCCACTGCAAAGTTTTTGCCATGGGTTTGAACTTCAAATTCTTTTCACCAGATACGTTCTTAGTTATTGGGATTATCCTTATCTTTATACATGTTTTCGATACGAGGTTAGTTGAGAAGAACGTATTGAAGATACTAGTGAATGGATGACACGGAATGTCAACACAATTCTTAAAAAGGTGGTTTTGAATTTCATGAAGTCCCAAACATTGGGACGGTTTAGGTGACTGGAGGCATTTCTAGACCTCAGTTTTAGCACAACTATTCTTCAAACCTGTGGACCTATGAAGTATGACGTCAAACGCCTGGCGTTCAAAAAACTGTTCTAATTTACAAACATTCAACTGTTTATCATTTCTAACGCGTCTTTCACCTATAGGTTCCTTAAATAGTTTCCACGTTCCTCGAGTGCTTTTTCACAAGACCTGAGTTTCTGAGTAAATTTTAAGTTCATACGTCTAATCCATAGGTTTATAAAACAATTTAGCTTCTGAACTTCAGTGAAGTTTACCTCCTCGTATTTTCCTTCTTTTAATCTCCGTAATCGTCATGGTTGTGGTGACGTGAGTCGACTAAAACTCAGAAAAATGGTTGCACTGGGACTAAAAATATCGAAACAGAATTTAAGATAACAAGTGATAATGTCAATGGTGTTGTGCAATGAGTCATCTGTAAATAATTCCCAGTTAGTTGTCCGAAACATGTTTTTCAGATTTCGGATATTTACTTCAGAGCTATTCCAGTATTGTACTTCCTTTGTCTAATGTGTGAGTGTACTCTTTCCAAGCTTGCCACGTATTTGACGATAAACAAGAATTGTACTGTGGTCAGAACTAGACAATGGAGCATGTTTATGAATCACATATGTTCCGACACCAATAATGA